TGTCAACATTATTTTTGTTTGTGATATATATGCATATTTATTTATTTTTTGTACATCTGTCTATACATGTCTCATAACAAACATAATATATATATTTTGAGCTCTACTTTGGTTTCCTGTGTTTTATTCACACACTCAGTATGTGTGTGTGTGTGTGTTGTGTGTGTGTGTGCGCTGTGTGTGTGTGTGTGTGCGCTGTTTGTGTGTGTGTGTGCTGTTTGTGTGTGTGTGTGTGTGTGTGTGTGTGTGTGCTGTTTGTGTGTGTGTGTGTGTTGTGTGTGTGTGTGCGCTGTGTGTGTGTGTGTGTGCGCTGTTTGTGTGTGTGTGGCAGTCAAATGCATTCCAAACAATCTCACTAGGGCTATAGTTCTTGAGACCAGCAGGTTGGGGTTTTTATATTGTTTTATCTTTTTTTTCCCCTGTTTGTTTTCAGCAGATCACAGGGCAGCACTCTTGGCAAAAACAAGAGTACGCAAAATCTGCTTCTAAATCAATAAAGGCAGGTGTACTGATGTGACTGTTAGGAAGGTCATGTAGTTCTCACCTGGAGTCTTTTCTTATAAACTGCAAACCTTTTAGTTTAAGGAGCTTGGAAAGAAAAGTGGTTGGACTTCTTTAAGTTTCTTCAAGACGTTTCTCCTCTCATTGGATAAGCTTCGTCAGTTCTTCAGATTCCCAGGTATTTAAGCTCTACTGGGAGTTGTCCCTTAAGAGAGTCGTTCATGTGCCTCATCACATGAGTCAAGGTGTGATTATATATAAGGCCCTGTCATGACAATGACTGATGTATATTGCATATACTGCCTATTTTTTTTTTTTTTTTTTTTTTAAACAATTCATTGCATGCACAAGACGAAATTGAACCGCAGTCGAATTCCTGTTTCGACACTTGCAGTTGGGATGTAAAGTGAAATGATTAGTAAGAGTTTGGCAAAAATAAAGGTGATTCTGATCCAGTTCTGATTGTGATACAGCTTCTTCAAAGTCAAACACTCCTAAAGAACCTTAACGTGTGTTCTGCTGGAGTGTAATATTGTGAGTACCATGCAAGTAACTGCTGTCTTAATGAATTTCTTTTAAACAGAGATGTTGTCCCTCTCTTATATTTCTAAGCCAAAGCAGTTTGCTCCTATGTTCTGATTCTGAGTCTGCACCCAACAGCTGATTCTGGGCACACATTAACATTAATGGAACCTACATCAGTGCCCAGAGGCATTGCGCTTGGTTCTAATCAAAACTGCTGTTGACTATTGATTTTCTGAGACTGTTCATGCTAATGAAGTCTGCAGGAGAGAGTACTCTTGCTTCTTTTTTCCTGGGACTGTCTTTTTTTCATCAAACTGGTGATTTTCTTTCCTTGTCTAAAGAGGCTCTTAAATATCTTGGTGTTTTTTATTTTTTCTTTTTTCTTTAAACTATTCATGTATTCAGTATCCATGAACTGTCTACTCTTTAAAACACTAAGATGTTACTGATTAATGTACTAAAAATAGGGGTAGTTTTCTGGTTACCAATGCAAATGTAAACAACTAACATTTTCAAATACATTTAGGTCATGAGAAACTTGTCTTATCTTTTTAAAAATGAACTGAATATTGTCACTAACACAACATCTAGATAAAGTCATACATTTACATCTAAGTTTGGTGACAGGCATTCTACTCTTCAAATCTCCACCAGCTTTTCAGGCAACCAGAACTTTTTTGCTGTCAGGTGTTACTGATTAACCAGCAAGTTGTGAATGCCCAGAGGCCCAAATAAATAAGTTCAGAATGCAATGCGAAGACAGACATATTTTTAAAGGCCCTGTTGCTGATCCACAATGACTAAACAGAAAAATTATATGATGATGTATTGTCCCTTTTGGGTTACCAGTTACATGGAAATGTATCATCATTACAAATGACTGCTAAACTGTGAAATGTTTGAGTCGTTTGCTTGTTAATATTGCTGAAATCTGAGGTGATCATGTGACTTCTTAAAGTTTATCCTTTTTTTTTTTTTTTTTTTTTTTTTTTTTTTAAACAGGAAGATTGATGACCAACTGGCTATCAATGGAAACACAATTGCACTAGTAATTAGCAGGAATAGAGTGAGCCATAGTACCACTAATCAAAACACAGTGGGACTCTCTTTTAATTAAACACAAACAACCCTGTTGTTTAAAAACTATAAATAAGTGCTTCAGCCTAGGAATAGCATTAAAGTTACTAATGAAAGTCAGATTGTTTTTGACGTCTCAGAAAAATGTGTAAACATTTCTCAGGAAAAAACACTGACATCCTCCATGCCAACAAGCGTAGTTTCTCTCAACCAAAAATAAGAAATATGAAGAAAAGTACTGTGTTCTGCGTACATTTCAACTTAAATGTTGATTTTAGATAAGAGAATATTCCTGTTGAAATTATTTTTTCATTATTTATTTACCATTTATGATTTTAGTTAATATCAATTCAGTAATTCACAATAGAAAATAATCATTTGTTGCATTTCATTTCACAAAGTCAGGAAAGGAATATTGAAGTCTAGACTGCTCGAATTTCCAATTCAGTTAAATTCAATTTTATTTCATTTTATCGACTGGAAAAAGACTGCACAAAGCAAACAGCAAAAAGTAATTATTTATTTATGGTTAAAGCCAAAAACAAAAAGATGTATACAGAAAATATAAGCTAGGCACAGCTGTGTCTGCAGGATGGATGCATAAAATTAGAATTTCAGTGATTAGTATTGCTGTAATGTAGCTGTTTTCTTCTCCTTTCTGTATTACATTATGTTACGCTCCAGTAAACTGTTTTAATCTCTCACCCTCTTTCTATTTAATATCTAATACACACGAAAGAAAGTCTTCATGGGGGTGTACGTTTCTAAATAAATAAATACACCATAAAAACTAGAATCACATTGATCTGTAATCATGCAGTGTTGAAATTATTCCAGGAAAGCCACTGTTATGATGAATTTATGACTTTGAATTTTTTATTCTCAGCAATGTATTTATTGTCCATAAAAACAGGCTTCCATCTTAATCTAAAAAAATGTTAATGTGGCAGACTTTAAAAGCCAGAGGCTCATGTATCACTATGCAGGTCATCAAACATGCTCTGCATGAGGAATATGACTGTTCATAATCCACTTTAACATTATAGACTAATACTAATTTTCTATGAGCCATCCACATTTCATCACACATCCCTTATCATGTTTGTTTTCTTCAGTGCCTGTGTATTGCCATTATACATTAAGGAACACTAGAATTAAGGCCTTTAGGTCTTGGATTATTGATAGTTGATGCAAAGACACGACTTCAAACACCCAGGAAACGATGAAAGAAAAGCTAAAGTTTCCTGCTTGTCTATCATCACAGTATCAGACTGCTTGCTGTTTAATTTACTAAGCATCCTACTTCTCATGTAAATGTCAGATATCCTTCATGCCACTACTACTTATTTCCAATGTATATGGTACAAGGTATTTGGCATTGAGGGGATGGAAAATTTTGATGAAAAACACGAAACCATAACCTGTGTTATTAAAATATGTAATATCCCTTTTGTAAGCGTTAAGCTAAGTCTTTAACATTTAATTTCAAATAAATAGATTTAATAAAATGAGTTTTATACTAAATATTGATAATTAAAAAAAAAATAAGAAAATTGAAAAACAAAATCTATGCCAAAATACAGAAGCAGTGTCTGATGCATGTTGAATAGAATAGAATTCAACTTTATTGTCATTGCACATGCACAGGTACAGGGCAACGAAATGCAGTGAACAACCTTTAGCAACAATAACTTGAAGCAATCATGTTCTGTATAACTTTATTAGTCTCTCACGTCACTGTGGAGGAATTCTGCCTACTCTTGTTTGCAGAGCTGTTTTGACAGAGCTCTTTTAAGGTCCTGACACATCATGTCAATTGGGTTGAGGTCTGGACTTTGAAACACCTTTACTTTTTTTTTTTTTTTTAAGCAGTTCAGTTGTAGAGTTTCTGGTGTGCTTTGGATCAGAACTCAATTTGGACCAAGGTTTAGCTCTTAGACAGATGGCCTTATCAATGGTTTGAGAATACTTTGGTATGCAGATAAATTTGTGGCTAACTTAATGACTGCAAGCTTCCCAAGTCCTGTGGATGCAATGTGCTGATATTCTGTCTTTCATTCTGCGAGTGGTTTGTTCAGATATAAACCTAAGCCCTTTTCCTTTTCAGAGGAAAAAATATTTTCCTGGCAACTCTTCCAAATATCCTGTACTTATACAATCCTCTCCTGATAAGAATAGCAACTGTGTTGAATGTTTTCCACTTGTGAGTAGCCTTTCACACTGTAGAATGATGGATTTCAAATTGTCTGGAAATGGCCTTATAGCAACCCAGTATCATGACAAAATGTGTAATAGACACGCATGTCCACCGTGTCCATTTCACACTTTGCCTCTCCAAAACATGGAATGGACACATATGAAGAAGTTGCTTAACTGCATGCAGAATTTGCATTACCAGCATGGGGAGATAGTATAGTTAAAATCCACAAAGTCTGTAATGAGCAAAAAATGTATGAAGTACATTCCATGGTCCTTAATCGCTGTGAATGATTTAAGCTAGGCAGCTAATATGTATTTACAAGTAAATGTGCTAATTATATCTGATTAAATTCTTTCCAGTGATTATTTTCATGTGGGCTTGAAATAAAATATCTCCCTCTGCTGTTACTGCAGCTTCCTGCAACTTCTGCATGTGTGTACATTTCACATTTTGGATAGGTAAAGCATGAAATGGACACACCTGCATGTCTTTTACACGTTTTGCTTATAGATCTTCAGTACAGTGGGCAGCAATACTTGCTTCTCTAAGATCCTTCTTCACAGTGTATAGATGTTACAGTAACTGGAGGAACTCAAACGCAGGACTCCTTTGCTCAAAGGAAGAACAGAGGGTTTATTCACAAACACCAGGTGAAATGTGTGACAGTGACAAAATGCTAAATACAAGGGTGCGGGGATCAGGGCTCCAGGGAATCCACAGGGAAAAGCAGGGGGACACTCTCACTCCTCTTCAGTCTCTCTTGGTATCTCACCAGTCTCTCCCTCCTCTCTCGCACCAGGATCGCTGTAGGGAACAAGGGCAGGTCCAGGGTGTCTGTATACAGGGAAACAATGTGTTAACGCAAGAAGCAAAACCACGGGAACTAGACTGCAAGGTCCTAGCCAGGATTTCACTGACACAGGTCAAGCAAAGATTCAGCGAAGATCAGTCTCGCTTCTTCCCTTTAGTAGAGGCCAGTGAATGAGACGCAGGTGTTGATCATCTCCCAGGTATGTAGGCCAAAGGTGGGAGCCCACAATGAACTCTGCCCAGGCGACAGAGGGAGAGAGAGGAAGAGAGGAAAAAGAGAAAACAAAGCAGAATTTCTCAGGCAGATCTGTTGGACCGTGACAATAGATGGATATAGATAGATATACATATATATAGCTTATGTCTTAATGTGCACTTTTTTAAAGGGACTTTTTTTTCACATTTTCACATCAGTCCCTAAGGCTCTCAGTATTCACCTTATGCCTTTTAACATCCTCAACCGCGAGCAATCAACTTGCTCGTGGTTGAAGTAATTTTACCTTTTATAGCTCGATATTCTGCCCACACTACCACCTAAAAGTGGCAGAAAAGTAAAAGACCTTGCTGATGACTTGTCCAAAAATGGAATTGGGAAAGGGGAAACGACAAAGGACAGGAATAATATGATGAAAATAGATTTGCTAATGCAGGTAGGAATGTAAATGACATAACATAGGCAGAGTTTAAAGAAAAAGAACATAATGTCAAGTTGTATTTTTGTTCAGTTTTTTCTTTGTTGTTTTCTTTTAGGGGTGTACGGTAGAGTTTGCTCCTGAGTGGTTTCCTAGAAAAGCCATGCATATAAGCTTTGACGATGTAGGAGTTTATGGTTTATCAAGTCTTTTGAAGAGTGTCCTTTTAATTCTGAACCATTAATGGAAAATGGTAATTTGTTAAAAAGAATAAATGCACCACAGTATGTGTGAGACCTTGGGAAAGCTGCAGGCATCTGAAACACACGATGTCTTAATGTGCAGTTATAATCCATTGCCAATTAATTTTGTACTTAAGGTGAAGAATCTATCTCACTTGCTCTCCCTGTTTTCATGTAGTAGTTAAATGGATTTTATTGACGTGGGAAAGGCAATGCAAGGGACAACAAATATTATATAAATATTATTAGTTCCTCATAGTGTGTGCGGCCAACCCATTTTAACGGTGTCTGTTAATATCATTTTGTCAGAGCCACTGACTCACTTAAACACAAGGTATCCTTGTGTATTACTTGACCCAACATATCTGTCATTCATAAACCTAACCAAGACGTTTTCAGTGAGTAAACCTAATCACTGACTTGCAGCTAAAGCAAAAAATACAATTTTCTTTTTTTTAAATTAAAGTGAAAATAAGGCAAAAAAGAGTAGCTCTTTTAGGTCTTAGTTACAAATTCATACAGACCAGCCATTTCAGTCAGTGCACACCGTAGCAACTTCTGCTCGCTAGGGAAAATTGTGTGTTTCTCAACTAGAACTACACATGATTGTTAAAGTTGCCCATAGTTTACATGCGAAACATCAGCTCCTCTCAAAACACTTTCTTCACTCTCTGAGCTGAGAACATGTAACTTCATATTAAAGGTTGGACCATTTGAAATGTGTTAGTTGCAGTGGTTAGATACTTGTGACATGTTGTCTAAATAGGGAGATGCGGGCTGATTCTAACAAAATGGTACTATGAACAACATAGTATGAACCAGGATAAGAACATCTTAGTATTTCTCACCAATGGACAATAAAGAAAGAAAAATGTGTACCACATAAATCTTAAATATTTCCAAAAAACAGGAAAAAGACCAAGGCTGAGTGTGGGCATACGGTCTGGAGGTACACAGAACCATGCACAGCAAGCTGGGATGCACTTTGTCCTGACACTTGTCTATCAAAGTCAGCTTTAACATTTTGAGTACTGCAAGCTTCTTTTTATGGGTCCTGGCTGTTCATAACCCATTTATCATTTTAGTATCTACTAACCTAAGTATTTAATACCCCACAAGACACTGGATCAAATTTGACCCACACTGTAAAAACTGTGACTAGAGGCTACTTAAAAAAGTTATGGCAACAAAGTGACACTTGAAATAATTAAGTAGATTTTAATTTCAAAAGATTTATGTAAAATGTAGAGAAAATGTTAATTAAATTCAAATAGAAAACAAAAGTAGATATTAATAGAATTAAACTGTAAATATGTGTTGGATTTAGGGTCAAAATCTCAAACTGAAGGTTTAAATTGCCCAACTTTACCAAAAAAAAAAATTGATATGAAATAAGTCTCTGAGAAAAATTACTTTGAATTTACTAACTATCTGGCAAAGGTTTAGTAAAAACTTCCTAAAATATCCATTGCAAAGAAATGAAATCTTCTTGTTTTTTCAGTAAAACTCAAATTGGATTCAATAATTTTCCAAATAAACCTTAAAAATAATGACTGAATAATAAGAGAAAATGAAATGAATTTAACTTATTTTCTGAGTAAAATGAATCAATTTCACAAAGAAAACATCAAAACAGTAATGTGTTTTATTGTGGAAAATAAAACACAGTAATTTATAATATAACATTTTTCTGCTCGTATACACTGAATTCTTATCAATCTCCTGATCTCCTAAATACATTCCTCTGCTGTAAATTTGTTTTAGTGTCATAAACAGTTTATCACACAGCTTTGTGTACAGAGCAACAGCAACATAAAGGAACTGCATGAATGTAAACCAGTTTTGTAAAAAAGAAATTAATCTTTAGATTAGACTGTAATATCAACATGAACCTGAAATTTGAATATCCTTTACCGTTTCCTTTATCTCTGTTACTTATTTATGATTGACTAACAAAAGGTTTTGTTAGTCAATCTTTTGTTAAATTGAATCACTCAATATAACTGTAGAACAAAGTTTTTTCACTCATGTACATGGAATATCAATAATGTAAATCAACCTTTTATCCCAATTTGGATGTTTAACCTGAGAAAATCTAAGACACATGTAAGAGGAAGTAACATTTCTACAGCTACAGGACTGCACTTCTGTTAAATTTTAAAGTTGTTTTAAACTAATGTTTTATAGTAACATACACTATAAACAAAGAAAAGCTTCACTAGTGATTCCTCCAATTTGTTGCCTTTCAAACAGAATATTCCTAAGAAACTTGTAGGTAATAAAAAACAAACATTAAAATGAAGAGCACAAATACAGCCTGACACATTGCAGGTCATTTGGGTAAGATATGAATAAGTTGAAATTAACTTGAAAACTGAAAAGATAGCTGCATCTAACAAAGACAAACCAAAGGTTTTCAGTGAGCTTACTTCCTTTTCATTCTTTCAGAGTCCTCGTTTAAGCCAATAACTTGTTCTTGAGGCTGTTCACTTTTGGTGAGAGCTTAGCACAATCCAGTTCAAGGAAAAGTTTCTGGAATACTTCCAAGGTGTATTTTAGCTCTTTGAGATAGGCAAGATCGACTGCATATGTCAATCCAACCAGCATTGCGCATGCTCTTGGAAAATTACCCAGAGCAGGCATAACTCTCACACCCTCCAGCACAATGCCAATGTCATCCTCCTCAGATCCAACAGCCTTGATTTTGTAGATTTTCATCCTCTGTTCAGAAAGATCTTGTGACCCACCATCCTCATCAGCATCCTGAAACAACAAACACATGGGTTTTCTGACTGTAGTTGCACACATGAAATATTTCCTGGACACATCCTGTAGCTGAATGACAAATAAAACATGATAATGCCTCAAATTATTTGAAACTTGACAAACACATATGAATAACAAAAACAGAATAATGTTTCTACTTCAACACTTACACTGTACTCTTTGATCAGTTGATCAATGGACTCCCCAAGGGTACACCATCAAGCACTGAATAACCAGATTTCTGGTTATGTTATTGCTAGGATTGCTTGGTGACTGAAAATGAACAAGAATTCCAAAAATTATCATCAGATAAGTGACCATTTATTAAGACAAAACTGTGAGAATTGGCAGTATTAAAAAAAAAAAACTGTTAAATATCAAATTATCATCACATGGAACATTATGTGCGATAATTAGCTGATGTTAATGCACATGCCTGGTTGCTGACAGTCAACACAAAGGTATTGTCAACACTATATACAGTGGGGCAAAAAAGTATTTAGTCAGCCACCGATTGTCCAAGTTCCCCCACCTAAAATGATGACAGAGGTCAGAAATTTGCACCAGAGGTACACTTCAACTGTGAGAGACAGAATGTGAAAAAAAAATCCATGAATCCACATGGTAGGATTTGTAAAGAATTTATTCGTAAATCAGGGTGGAAAATAAGTATTTGGTCAATAACAAAAATACAACTCAATACTTTGTAACATAACCTTTGTTGGCAATAACAGAGGTCAAACGTTTACTATAGGTCTTTACCAGGTTTGCACACACAGTAGCTGGTATTTTGGCCCATTCCTCCATGCAGATCTTCTTGAGAGCAGTGATGTTTTGGGGCTGTCGCCGAGCAACACAGACTTTCAACTCCCGCCACAGATTTTCTATGGGGTTGAGGTCTGGAGACTGGCTAGGCCACTCCAGGACTTTCAAATGCTTCTTACGGAGCCACTCCTTTGTTGCCCGGGCGGTGTGTTTTGGATCATTGTCATGTTGGAAGACCCAGCCTTGTTTCATCTACAAAGTTCTCACTGATGGAAGGAGGTTTTGGCTCAAAATCTCACGATACATGGCCCCATTCATTCTGTCCTTAACACGGATCAGTCGTCCTGTCCCCTTGGCAGAAAAACAGCCCCATAGCATGATGTTTCCACCCCCATGCTTCACAGTAGGTATGGTGTTCTTGGGATGCAACTCAGTATTCTTCTTCCTCCAAACACGACGAGTTGAGTTTATACCAAAAAGTTCTACTTTGGTTTCATCTGACCATCTGACATTCTCCCAATCCTCTGCTGTATCATCCATGTGCTCTCTGGCAAACTTCAGAGGGGCCTGGACATGCACTGGCTTCAGCAGCGGAACACGTCTGGCACTGTGGGATTTGATTCCCTGCCGTTGAAGTGTGTTACTGATGGTGACCTTTGTTACTTTGGTCCCAGCTCTCTGCAGGTCATTCACCAGGTCCCCCCGTGTGGTTCTGGGATCTTTGCTCACCGTTCTCATGATCATTTTGACCCCACGGGATGAGATCTTGCGTGGAGCCCCAGATCGAGGGAGATTATCAGTGGTCTTGTATGTCTTCCATTTTCTGATGATTGCTCCCACAGTTGATTTTTTCACACCAAGCTGCTTGCCTATTGTAGATTCACTCTTCCCAGTCTGGTGCAGGTCTACAATACTTTTCCTGGTGTCCTTCGAAAGCTCTTTGGTCTTGGCCATGGCAGAGTTTGGAGTCTGACTGTTTGAGGCTGTGGACAGGTGTCTTTTATACAGATGATGAGTTCAAACAGGTGCCATTCATACAGGTAACGAGTGGGGGACAGAAAAGCTTCTTACAGAAGACGTTACAGGTCTGTGAGAGCCAGAGATTTTCCTTGTTTGAGGTGACCAAATACTTATTTTCCACCCTGATTTACGAATAAATTCTTTACAAATCCTACCATGTGGATTCATGGATTTTTTTTTCACATTCTGTCTCTCACAGTTGAAGTGTACCTCTGGTGCAAATTACTGACCTCTGTCATCATTTTAAGTGGGGGAACTTGCACAATCGGTGGCTGACTAAATACTTTTTTGCCCCACTGTAGGTAAAGACAATTCCAAGTTGTATGCTTAAACAAGTTGTATGCTTGTAAGCTTCAATCTTTAAATGTGTCGTTTTAGTAAATTACATTAATTTAGTCATTTAGTTTTTTATCTAATTTAGTTTGTTTGTCAGAAAGGGTTTTTCCTTCTTGGGACAAAACAAAAACCCAGCAATACCTGTATTACTTTTTTTTTTTTTTTTTTTTTTTTTTTTACTAAGAACAGACATGTATTTAAAATACAATTAAAACATGAAACCCATAATTGTGTTGTTAATTATATCAGTGGCGTCCTCTTGCACTGACAAAAACATGCAAACAAATTAGTGGAGCTGTGCACCATGCAAATGAAATTTGACAAAAAAATTCTTTAAATAAAATTCCAAGCTGAAATGTCTGTGGAAAATACCTTGGCTATGATAGCCTGCAACTTCAATCCCATGGCTCCCCCCTTGGAATGGAAAAGGGCTAACAGTTTGGGAGTGTACTCATCCAGCATGGACATGAATTTGGGTTCAAGGTGTACCAGGGTGATCCTGTAGAACTCATCCTGCAGCTGAATGACAAAAAAAACCATGATGCAGCCTCAAATTATTTGAAGTTTGAAAGATTACATTAAAAAAAACCAAAAGCCTACCTAAAATGAATTTGGAACTCACATGAGATGCCTCAAACAAAGCTGGCCATCTGGCTTTGATGTCTTCAATGCTGGGGGACAGGTTGACAATTTCATGTCGTCTATGTGCAAATGTTTTAGCCATTTTTTCTTTTATCACTTTGTTGTTGTCTCTTTTCTTGACTTCAGTAAGCAACTGAATTCTCTCTTCTTCTTGACTGTCCTCATCTTCACCTGCTGGATATGGCGGAAGGTAATTTACCTCTGCTTTCCGAGGCTTTTTCACTTTATTTGCAGACTTCTGGTCACCTGGACTCTTGTGTTTCATGGCATTGCATGTCAACTCAGGAACACCAAACCCTCTAAGTTTTGTACGATAATTGGCCATCTTGTATTTGATGCTTTGTTGCCAACCATAATAACCTGAGAAAGAGCCAGGTTCCTTGAGACAAGGGTATTTTGTCACAAGTGCCTCAGCAACATAACTAACCTGTGCACTTGAAGGATGGGCCGTAAATGTAAATATAGTTTCAGCCAACTTCTCAAGAATATCAGTCTTTACTTTGGAGGTGGGCAGAAGATTTCCATTCTTTTTATACTCCTCAGTGGCTCTTTCCAGGTACATCTCAGTTTCATATGCAAACTGTGGAATGGGAAACTGTTTCGGCCAGGGCTCACAACGTTCTGTGGTCTTCTGCCTTTTGAGAATAATGGTGTCCTGAGAAGAAGTAGTTGCAGCAGAGTCTGCATTGGATACAACTGACTCAGCATATGAGGAGTCATAGTCAGACAGTTGGCCAGAGGGGCCGCCAAAACTGTCATCAACCGGAGTCAAGCTTAGCATGACCGGGATGATGCCAACAACCTTCACAGTGTCTTTGTCTTTTATCTGGTCAGCTCTGTGAAGAGTGAAGTCTTCTTCCTCCTAGCGTTTTTCCCACTCGGTTGCAGGGTCCGCTTTTCTGCAAAGTCGTCTCCACTTGGGTCGGTCAAGGGCGTCGGTCAGATCGGCTTCGATCTTCTTCACGTCGTCCTTGATTTGGTCCATCCATCTCCGCTTTGGTCTGCCTCTAGGTCGACGTCCTTGGGGGCTGAGCCGCAGTGCTGTTCTCACCACTGAGTTCTCATCGCTCCGTACCACATGTCCGTACCACCGCAGCCTCGCTTCTTGCATCTTATCTGTGATTGGCGCGATTCCCATCCTCTTTCTAACGTCGGCGTTCATGACGTGGTCCCATCGTGTCAGGCCTAGGCACCATCGCAGCAGCCGCATTTCCATCGTGTGAAGGGCTTGTTCGTGCTTTGCGCTGGCTGGCCAGCACTCGGATCCATAGAGGGCGACGGGGCGCACTACACTCTTGTAGATCTTTGACTTGAGGCGATTGGGCATTCTTCGGTCACACAGGACGCCGGTGACTTGGCGCTATTTCATCCACGCTGCGTTGATCCTGGCTCGTACATCTAGTAGGATATCGCCGTCACTGTGAAGAGTGAAGTAGTCCTGGAATTCTGGGTCAAAATACTGAAGACTGAAGTCATTTGAAATCCCAAAAGTATCCTTCACAACACTCTGCAGCTCCTCCAATGTTGGTGGGATCCCTGATGGAAGAACCAACTTCTCGATTTGGTCATCAATAATTACACGAAGCTTTGCCTCCATCTTGTTCAACCTAAAATAAAATGTAAATGGGCAGAGTTAAATTTCCCTTCAATTAAATAAAATTAGTTATTACTTTTCATTTATACAATAGTTGAGATATAAAACTATAAAACAAAAAGCACACTTCAACACACCAAATGTTGCAAATAACAAATACTTGGGAGATTTACATGTTATCAAGTTTTTGTTGTTGTCGTTTTGTTTTTTGTTTTTTACCTATTATTCACAGCAGATGTAATGTTTCAGGGTTACCAAGCGTTTTCTTCCCACATTGTAAGAAGCCAAGGGCCACATGTCACCAAGTTTCTGCTGCTCCAAAAGACTGATCTTGCCAGTGTCCTCCAGTTGAAAAGATCTCAGATGCTCTACATACCATGCAGCAAGTAACTTCACAATGAAATATACACAATTGTCCAAAACGACTATCTGTATTATCTCAGCAAAGTCTGGTAGTCCACATGTTGAACCATTAGACAGGATCATCCCAGCAGTGTATCTTGTTCCACTGTAGGTGACAGTGGTGGCAAGCTGCACACAAGTCAGAGATGGTGATCTTGCTCTCAAATCTGCCTGTATGTCTGGATGCAGCACATCTACAGGCATTCTGGATATTTTTGTGACAAGCAGGGCAGGTTTCACCTCTTTTGATTGCATGTGGTATGCCATCATCATTTGATGCCTTGTAGAAAGGGTCAGCAACACATTTTTGAAATTGTTAGTGTGTCTCACAACTTTCTTGAAAAATCTGTGTTTCGCCTCAAAGCACATTGTCCATACTCCAACCAATGGCCCATATTTTTCTATTAAAGCAGGGTAGTGCTCCAAAAAATGGTGTTTTGGTGTGAGCCTTTGATCAGGAAAAACTTCCAAATATCTGACACGATGGTCAGATATTTTAAATTCAAGGTAGGCAATACTTTGTGTTGTGTGAACAGGGGCAACCACTAACTCAACAATGTCCTTCAAAGTCAGAAGAAGTTGCCAAACAGGATCATCTTCAGGTACACGTAAACCAACAAGGAAAGGCAACAAACGTATTAGGGCCCAGTTTTCATGAGCATTTCCTCCTACAGTTTTGCGACCAGCAAAATTTGAAGGGATTGCTTGTGGACTGTTCAATTTGTCTGAGCCCTTATATGGAAAACATGTGACTATATTATTCAGTTCAGTCAAACTGAAGTAGTGCTTCTTCAAAAACCTTGAAAACACAATGCTAACTCTCTTGGCACTATTCCCTCAAAAAGGTCATGAAGGACATCTGGTGGGTATCCAGACACAAAGTGTAAATTATTAAGTTGATCAGTTAATGGACATGACCGCTTTAAGCCAAAATAAGGCACTAAATTAGGATTTTCTTTGACAGCTTGTACGTGTAAAACATAGTCATCCTTTTTTCGAAGTGGGAAGACCCCAGACCGTACTTCTTATGTCTGGTACTCTGAAGAATGTCCAAGGCAGAATCTACAAACATATGGCCCGTTAAAACTTTCAACAAGCACCAAGGTTATCAGCTACAACACAGTGTAGGGCGCTGATAGGTTTGTAGCTTGAACCTATTCGCTGGAACGTTGAGGACAATATAATTACACCGCAAGCAAGACACGAAGTTAGCAAAGTTCTTCATGTTTCTCGTGCACGGGAGAGAACCGGACAAACGCCATTCCTTCGCTTGACCCCAGTTGCTCTCGTCCATTCTCCCGTAACACTGCTCTTTTATTGAGGTTACATGAATATGCATAGGTTCATTAACATATGACGTCTACATACACACAAAGAGTACCTTGTGTGTGTGTGTGTGTGTGTGTGTGTGTGTGTGTGTGTGTGTGTGTGTGTGTGTGTGTGTGTGTGTGTGTGAGATTTGTGTGAGGTCAAGATGTGACCCTGTGAAGACTCCCCAAAGCTGGTGCCAGGAGTCTAGCGGGTCCATCTGAACAAAAGGCTCTTATACTTAAAGAGATATACGTGTGTTTGCTATACCATATACTGTATCAACAAAGAGAAGATAGGACCTCTCTTATGCTCCTAGGATGTGGGTGTACATTCCACTCTAGAATGCACACCAAGCCTTTGCAGCCTGCTAAAGATCACAGTGCTATCACTACACAATTGATTGTACACCTCTAAGCATATATGGTTAAATATTTCTAAGCATAAATGACAATCAACAATACAAAACCTAACAGGCGCCTTTAATATTTCTCCCTAAATATGAAATAAAAACCCCCTCCTGTTCAAGAGTGACAAGATCTTTCAAAAGTGGATCCAATACTACTTTGTATTCAAACTGTTTCACATCAACAAATTTGCAAAGTAAAGCTAGTTGTATTGATGTTAAGGCAGACTGTAATCTTGATGGCAAATTGGCCAAAACCCAATAAACTGCAGTTATTTTATGTTTTTTTCGAGAGGTTCCTAATGGGTTACACACCTCAAATTCATCAACATAAATTATTATAGAGAGTCTTGTTTCTTCTACAGCATAAAAGTCATTGTCCTTAAAACACGTACCATCAAAAATGGACTCAAAATGCCCTGTGCTACTTGAGCACCTCGAAAAGGCTTCCACTGCAATATCTTTGTTTTTCAGTACTTCTTGCAAAGTCTTTAGAACTGGTACATATTGAAAGCTCTTTTTTTTGTTCAGCATCAAGAATATATTCAATAGGATCCACAAACTGGAAATGCTCCTTAAAATACTTATTTCTCTTAAAAGCTGAACCAAGTGGCCCGCCTGCTCCAAGAGCTCTGCTAATGGGATGAGAGCTGCACAACTGTTCAGCCAAGTCCTTTATGATAGTGTGGTCAACTGTGCATTTGTTAGATTTCAGTGCTGAATCAATTATATTTTTAACCGCCTCCACAGATGCTGAAGAAGAAATATAGAAGAGATCTTCAACCAAAGCATTAATGCACCTCACTGAAACATTGTAAGTGCTTTCTAACTTGAGTAGAAGTAAGCCAAGTCCTTGAAGAACAGTACAAGATGCACTTTCTGGATCATCATCACTAGAGCATTCATCACTGTTGAGTTCAGGGACATCAGAATGGTCAGTGTTCTGACTAGGATGACTTTCCAAGACTTCTTTCTTAAAATCAGTTAAGGAACAACATGTATGTCTCCTGCCTTTGTGCTTTAGAAATGTATTGTATATATTTGTGCAAAAGTCACATCCATTAAAAACGCAAAATACAGTTTCGTGTCTCTTCAAGTGATTTCCTATATGCTGAAAATAGTCCTTCTGAGTAGAGCAAAAAGCAGTGCAAGCCAAACACTTAAATGCAGTGATCACTCCAGGCCTTGGACTCTCTTCAGCAGTATGGTATCTGGACAAATGTGTGCGAAGGGCTCCTTGTGTTTTAAATGTGCAAGGACAACTGCCATACAGACATGGCTGGTGCTGTCCACGACCAAATGTTGCGTGTTGTAATCTGTAATGACGTAGAAGATTCCCCTTTGTAGTAGAAAAAGATTTGCATATCTTACACTGCCATCCCATTTGCCAGGTCCTAAAGTGATGGAAAAATATATATCTAAGAATCTAAATAGTTTTTCATGACAAATGTAAGAGCATGGGTATCTATACACATTTGATGTTGAGATTATAGAGAAGAAGAAAAAAATCCTACAAATAATAAGCAATTATTTTCTACTTATTGTTTTTACAAAAACAAATAAGTTAGATTAAGTGGGGTCAACTTGGTAATTTTATGCCGCTTCAATTTCAAAACCATTAGTTTAATTTAATATAACATGTTATCACAACTTACTTTATAATGCACAGTCTACATGCTGATCAGGTGAATTTAAGTTGAGGGATCTTCCATTACCTGAAAGGAAAGCAACATTATCATTAATAGCAGTCTCCAAAATAAAAAATTTACACAAACATGTTTGTTAAAGACATGTTTAAATTAATGCTAACATTTTAAAGGTGAGGTTCCTATATAACACAAGGAAACTCTTTATTAGATTAAAAAGGGGATAGGCCCTGGTTTCTGTAGCAATTTGGTGACAGATCACAACGTGACATCTATATATAAGTCTAGATATCACAAATTTGTTAAACAGTAATAGGTAAAGTAATAAAATCTCTGACTAAAGATGTTTAAGATAATTCTACCCCCTTTTTTCAAAATTGCAAATGTGAGCACTTGATATGCAGTCATTCCAATAGATTAACACA